TCCAACATTTACTACCTTATAAGAGGATGGATATCATATAGTAATCCAGCACTCTTTTCTATGTTTCTAACAATTTTTCCATTTCTCGGCACCTTGCTTTGTTTTTGGAATGCCTCTTTCGCTAGTACAATTGGTGTTTGGATCTCGGTGTAACATTTTTCATTCTCTGCTAAAACGCTTCTCGGATATTTGAACTTCTGCACCTGCTTGATGTTTATATCTCCAGTTAGTAACTCGCATCTTGGGATTTTTCTCTTACTAATGTTGATGCTTTCTGTCTTCTTGCAGTTAATGGTAAGTCTTTTTTCTGGCTTTCTTCTACCATCATGTCAAGGAAGTCCTGTAATTTCCTTAGCGAGTCGGCTATCAACATGGTGTCATCTGAGTATCTTAAAAATTAAAATTAAATTTTAAAATTACGACCACCGATAATAAATCCTGGTAGGTCTCCAGTTCCCTGTAGGGGGTGAATAAATCTAGGAAGAAGTTGCATCCTTGTCTCACGCTTCTTTTTTTTTTTTGTACAATTATTCAATAATGCTAAAAATCTTTTCAATATGTAACATCTACTTAGCCGAAAAGGCGTGTTTTTGCCAGATTTATTGAAGTAAACCTTAACTACCTTAAGCTGAAGAATAGCAATAAAATAAATCCAGATGATTTTCAGATGTATGTTAGTGTTGCCTAAATTCGTATTGTACTGGAAAACTCGATTTTTAAAGAATCTAAAAATTACAATGTAGCCAGAAGTATCAAATTAAAGTATATTTAAGAAAACCAAGTGATTTACAACCGAATGTTAATTGCAAGTACTGTGCTTACGCTAGACAAATAAACGCTAAATGTTAATTATAGAATACAAGCATTTACTTATTTACTTTATTTGTAGACGAGTAAAAATATAGATGCAAAAAGTAGCTCATCTTTTGCACATAATACACAGAAAGTAGCCTAAGTTGCTAGGGAACGAATTCAACAATACTCTTTTTATTATCATGACGATTTTCTTTCGAAGCGTGATCAAACGAGTCATAGTTGTATAAGTATCATAAATTTATTGATTACTCTTTTTGTTTGTGAGCGTGCGTGTTTGTGTATGCATATATAGTATCAGTGCATGTGTATATGTGTAAGAAAAAGAAGTCTTTTTAGATGAAGAAAAGGATCATCATTAAATAACCTAGTAGTAACCAGATTTTTAAATTCAGAATTTTCCATTTCCTAGACGACTAAAATCAAGACTAAAATACGCGTTTACCTTACTATTTACTATTTTCATTATTTATTTAGCTGGGTTAAAAGGAAGAGATGAATTTATACCTTTCGCAAGAGTATTTGCGCAAAAGTAAAATAAAAGAAACCGGCTAGAATAGATAGATAGATAGATAGATAGATAGATAGATAGATAGATATAGTGAGAGTGAAGGGAGAAAGAGAGAAAGAGATAGAGAGAGAGAAAGAGAGAGATAGAGAGCTATTATTATTCAGTATGTGTGGATTTTAATCTTACATCAATTTCTCTTGGCTTTTTGTTCTCTGCCCTCGAAATATATGTGGTTTCTTAACCTTTAGGCCATCAGTATGCAGGTTGATTGAAAAATAACTCCCCATTTTAAAATACTTTTAATTTATTTATTAACTATAATTTCTACGATACCACCTTCTCGAGCCGCCCAGGAATGGCGCCAACTGATTTCCCTAGGAACTCATGTAGTATGGAAGACATAACTTTTTGTATTCGCAATTCAAGTTCTTTCAAAGACTTGGTTTGGTAGAATAGACTTGTTCCTTTAAGCAGCCCCCAAATAAAATGTCACATGGTGTTAAGTCAGAACTCATGGCTGTCTATGCAAACAGAAAATAGGAAGTTATCACCCTGTATATTTAAATCTTAATTTTGGAGATGATGGTGCGTCAAACACCACAAAAAGATAGCCTCCAAATTTATCTTAAAAAATTCCAGAGGCAAAAACACGAAGACAATTTCAACATTTTTTAGCATGTAATTAGAACATACCCATTCTTTCAAATTTAACAATATTTTTTGCATCTATAATTGAAACTAGTAATTTGTTTTCCATGAAAATTTTATTAATATTTCCAAGACAAGATACAAGGGGACATTTGAAGTATTTCCTATACCAAGATGACATTGATATTAGTTTTCACGTCAAGATAAAAAACAAAAAGAACATATTTCAGTGTAAAATATTTAGTGAATAATCTCATAGTCCTTTTTATCTCTTTTTATATAATAAACTAAATGTTCTTCGAGTTATTTATTTTTCAATTTTGGATACTTTTAAAGTCGGCATTTACCGTTTGTGTGCCAGGATAACGTCATGCATGAAGCAACAAAGCTAAATGTATTATTTACCAACTGAAGAAAATTCGTTGATAACTTTTTTCAAGGCAAGCATTTGTAACAGATTACTAGTATAATATATAAAGCTAAAAGTTTTGTGCAAGTCTACTGGAAAACCATTTAAAATTAAATATTTTCCAAATTTTGAATTTTGTTGTTTGCCCAATCCAAATATTGTGAACAATTTCTTCCAATATGTATGTTATGTATCTCCACAATTAACGATTCTTGGTTTATAGAGATACTTAATTTACCTAATCAATTTTAAGAATAAAATGCATCTTATATGTTTATCATGTTTACAGTGCTTACCTATATACAAAGCATGATGGGTAAATTGTCGCCATTTTGTATTTTTAATTTAGCGCATGCGCCTTGTTTCTTTTTGATTTTGTTGACTACACAGTATAGTAGGTTCTTTTGGGCACCGTCTGTGAGAGAAGGAGCACCATGACGTAATTGACCCCGCCAGAAATTTAGAAACGGTATACTCTACTGTGCCGGAAGCTCCATAACTGACATTTCAGTTTGGGTGTCAATCTGAGGATAATGCAGAGGATGTGGAAAGAGTTGAAAGAGTCTGATGGTGATTACGAAGGTACGGCAGCTCGGAAAACTCACTCTGATCGTTCTGTTAAGAAAAGAACACCAGAATTTGTTGGTGAGGACCTTGGACTCAACACTGAGGTCTGCATCAAGTAGCTTGAAGAGGTAGTGCTTTCCAGAGTCAAGAGTGTGGTTGCTGGAAAATCCAAGTCTGGCAACAGGACTCTGCACCATGCCACACAAGCAGGAGAACACAGTCATGGTTGTCAGAGAATTTCTGCGACCACATCACCCCTTACATCAGGTTAGCTAAATCACCTGACTGTAACTTACTTGATTATTATGTGTGGGGCGCAGTTGAATGAGAGACCAACAAAACTACTTGTAACACCAAAAATGAAATGAAGGCAAGGATTATGGCAGCATTCACCAACTTAAAAAAGGAAAGAGTTGCATGAGATTCTGAAGTCATCTGTACGCCGTGATTGAAGCCAATGGCGATTTTATTGAATAAATTTACTCTTTAGTATCCCAAGATATTTTGTGTAATTTTGGTAAAATATATCTGTTAAAAGATATCAGTTATCAGATATCAGTTATTTTTGCCTAATATAGACGATAATTTATCCATCGCACCCTGTACAATGCTTTTAATAGCTTATCATCTTGTTTATAATTCAAATGCATTTGACGGGGGATTGATATTACATAGCAGTTTAGCGCTGTTTTCTTCATTTCTAACGAAAACGTAATGTCTCTTAATACTTTATTTAGCTTCTGGAAGTCATCTTTCGTTATTTGAATGTCTTTGGATTATCTCAAGTTTCCCATCGTTCGTTATATCAATCCTTCTTTATTGTATTGGAAGCTAGGACGATTCCTTGCAGATGAAGATAAGACTTGAGGTAACAAATTTATTGTTTTACAGAAGGATTCTGAGAATACCATTGACGGGGTATACGAGCAACGAGGAAATTTTAAGGAAAACGAAAAGGGTACTTTTACTTAGAATCAGAAAGAGATAGTAGAAATTTCTAGAACAAAATACGGAAAAGGATTATACAATTTTATATTTGCAGGATATACTGAAGGCAAGGGGAAGGGAGGGGAAACAGCTACCTAACGAGCGTGTGCAAATGGATGGCAGAATAAAGGTTGGGAATTATAGTTAAGAGGGCAAATATTGTTAAGATCTAAAAAGGATAGGAAGTCCACGTAATAAAGATACACGGCACATGAAAGAATAAGCTTTTAGTAGCCTGAAGTATAACTAAACATACTGGATATCCTACGTTTGGACAATATGTAATTTCATACGTTATCCCGTTCGCGTGCATAAATTTGAAAAATCAACTCAAAATTACAAAACTCTTCCTTGTCTATTATGTATCTATAAAGTATTAAAAGTCTGTGATTGCGTGCGTGCTTGTGTGGTGCGTCCATCCGTCGCATAATGATTTACGACTTTTTTTTATACAGTAAATATTTTTATTTTAACTTTCTACAAACAGACAATTTTTAATTAAAATATTTTTAAATTAACGAAGGACACCAAGAAATCCCGCTTTGCTGTTTTATCCAGTTGTTTGTAGTGTACTTATTTATATTTCAGCTATCTTTAAACAAACAATATTTTAAATATTTTAAAAATATTTTCAAGTGAATATGATTTTAAAATTTTTTTGCATATTAAAAAGTATTTTTAAGTTAATCTGAATTAAAGTTCCTGGATGTTCTATTCCTATTAAATGCTATAAACAATCACTAAAAAGTTAAACATTATAAACCAGACCAATGACGAAATGACGGAATTGAAATATTTAGCTGAATCATAATAAAATTCTTTGATTTCAATGGAATGTTGAAATCAACATTTTATATACTGAACTATCAGTGACCCAACGGGACAAGGATAGTCTAGTCTTTAATAAAAGTTATATTGCTGAAAGACTGCTACTGCCTAAATACTTTATTTTTATGAAATTAATTAATTTCACACACGCGCGCGCACACACACACATATATTATTTTACAGGTTAAACTTTATTTTTAGTGAATACCCATATTTGAGTTTTATTTACTATAGACTATGTATTTAGGTGAACGCAGGTTAGAATCCTGCCGGAGAACGAATATTTTTCTAAGATTTCTCGAATATTCAGGTCCGTAGATGGAGTAAAAAAACAGAGTATCCACTCAAATAACAGAGCATCCACTAAAATAACTTTTAAACAATAAAATTATATGTTGGATTAATGAATTAAAAATACATTACTAATACATATATATATATATATATATATATATATATATATATATATATATATATATATATATATATTTATATGTTTGTATATATATATATATATATATATTGTGTTTGTATGTGAATATATATATATATATATATTGTGTTTGTATGTGAATATATATATATATATATTGTGTTTGTATGTGAATATATATATATATATATATATTGTGTTTGTATGTGAATATATATATATATATATTGTGTTTGTATGTGAATATATATGTATACAATGTGCATAAATGCACATATTTCATACATATGTATTGATATATATACACAGATATATGCGTATGTGACTATGTAACGTTTTTACACATATGTATACATATACAAAGTTATTGCTATGTACCTGAGTAGTCACCTTTAATCTGTTATAATTTGAAGGTGACTTAATCTTATGCAGTTAAATTATAACATTCCCTTTTGACTTATCGAGGACATAAACATGGCAGCTTCCAATCTGACATAGGAAATGAGAAGGCATGAGCTATCAACCAAAGCAACTCGGAAATAGTCAGCTTCTGGAAAGTGGACAGGTGCTTCCTGTTCAAGGTCAGGCACTAGTTATAGGCCTCTGACACTGACGAGTCATCCGTGGACAAAACACAAATTCTAAGCGGTCAAACTTTGTAGAACGTCATCAAGCGCGTCCTCAGGAAGTTGATGAGGGTCACTGCCACTGCTTCAATTGAGGCCATCATTTAAGGAAATGGATAAGTGGAAGACTACTCATCTGACTCAGGAATGACTGGTCAAGAATTTTTCACAATCATTTTACCTCCGATATGTAACTTTGCTGCTGGCCTGATTTGAATTTCCTTGTCTACGACGTCGAGAAGACCAACCAGCTACACCATAATAACAATGATCTTTTGATAGCTAATATGAACAGGAATCCCTTGATTGCATGCAATCAATTAATATACTTCATTTAGGCCAGCATTGATGCTGAGAGCGGTTTATGAATAAACATATTATCTTTATCTAAGTTGAACATGTGGACAACTTTTTAAAAATATTCTCATTTTTATTGAATATATTTGTTTTCTTTTCATATTATAATCTATTTCCCATTTAACAGGTACTTTCTGTATATATGAAGGTGCGCTAAAAAGTTTTCAGCTCATTCCATTTCCCAGACACTGACAAAACGACAAAGTATCAGAATCTTTTATAGCCGAGAAATTTCAGAATTTATTGTGACTTCATTGAGGGAAATTTTATCGTGAAAATATTCCTGAATTTCCCTCTTTATTTAACAAAAGTGCTATTCAGTTAATATCTATCTATCTATCTATCTATCTATCTATCTATCTATCTATCTATCTATCTGTCTGTTCTATGAAAGAAGAAAATAGCAAAAAGTGGGACGAAGAAAAAGAGAGAGAGTGTGAGAGGGAGGAAGAGTGGGGTAAATATTTTGAAAACTGTAGAACAGATGTGAATATAATTTTTTATCTTTCTATTTCTTTGTTTTTGTCTGACTGTCTCTATGTTCATTCATATATATATATATATATATATATATATATATATATATATATAAACAAAGAGTGTATGCTATAGTAGAAAACAGTGTGGAGAAGTAGGAACGAATGTGAAAGAGATCGCGAGAGATCGGAAATGCCAGAACACCGTCATATATTCCTTCACCCACAGTTAACATTCTTCTTCTTCTTCTTCTTCTTCTTCTTCTTCTTCTTCTTCTTCTTCTTCTTCTTCTTCTTCTTCTTCCGCCGCTGTTATTTTCTCCATTTTTACTGAGCTTCTTAATCCATGACTTGATGTACTCCCTCATACGCCTTATCCCATCCACATGGCATAAATCAGTTGGACAGAGGCTGCGTATTTCTGGACCAATAAAGCAAAATAGAATGAAGACGAAAAGATACGGAGACAGTGATGGGGAAGAGAAGAAAATTGCGGTCCAGAAACATTCGTGACCGGATTTGAAAAAAATGAAAAGAGAAAAAATGTCGTTTGAGGTGGTGGTAGAATTCCTAGCTAGCCCATGGTCAGTACGGCTAGCGATTAATCCGTGAGCAAGAATTTGTGTCTCCCAATGTGGCATTCGGCTAAGGAGCTGACCAATATCATTTATAACGAAGTTGTCTGTGAAATAGCAAACGTTGAATTCATACTGGTCGCTGTATCCCTTTTTCACGACATTGATGGATGGCATAGATTAAGGGAGACTGCGAGATCCATCCATCAATGACGCTGCCTTTTTCTTGAAGAGACAAGAGAGGTTCCTGTTTGAAAAAGGAATAAGTGAAATGCTTGCTTTCTTTCTTTCTTTCTTTCTTTCTTTCTTTCTTTCTTTCTTTCCACGCTATTTTTTTATATTTCTGTACACAGCATTACTTTGTGCCGTGAGGCCATATCTGAACGTACTTTCAAAAAGGGGCATAACTCAGTAGCTTTAAGCAAATGCATTGCATATTTGTACACTCAAGCTTATTCAAATGAAATATCTTGTCTTTTTTTAAAACGATTACAGGAAATGTAAATATATGCACACAGAACTTTTGCATAAATATATACATTTATGGGCTATTCTATATGCATATGTCAAGCACAAATGTCAGATTGCTTGAGCTTTTTCTTTTTAATCTAAGCCTTTAAGTTCATAAATAGGTTTGTGCCAATTTATATTTGTATGTTTGTTTTACATATGCTTGTATGTATAAATGTGAATATATGGGTGTATATAATTGTGCATGACTTTCACCAACGTTGACCTAGTTCATAGATTCTTTCTTTCTTTCTTTTGACTGAATCTTTTTTGAGAGACTGACACACTGAAATCAATAATATTAATGGACATTAAACATACTGACGACATTCTTTGCTTCCAATACCATATATCTGTGAGTGTCCGCGTGCGTGTATTTGTGCGCATGCGCGTATATATATATATATATATATATATATATATATATATATATAGTGTATTCGTTTTGACTTATGACTGTATAAGATAGATATTTTTTAGACAATTTACGTTACTTTTATTTTTACATGAGTCAATTTAAAGTGGTTTGATTTTTTTAAACAAATAGCAAGTGATATAATATGATTTTGTTCAAAATTCGAAAAAGCGGTTTAACAAAATTATACAATAATCAGAACTGATTTCATTGATTATCATCTGCAAAGATGAACAACCGAGAAAATAATACTATTTGTAAAAGAACCATTCGGATACATCATGGCATTTGGAAGAGTACTTATTAAGGACTTAACAGTACTTTGGTCGAGAAAATAATGGCACTTGAAAAAGTCCTACGGGAGAATATGATAGTATTTGGTCGAATTCTTATTTGAACGAATCCAGTAGTACTTGTAAGAATACTGATCGGGGAATTGATAGCTTTGGAATACTGACTAAGTATGCAGTGGTACCTGAAAGAGTACTGATCGATTATTTGATAGTATTTAGATGAGGATGCAATGGAAAAGTCCCGATCGAGGAATTGATAATATTTGGTAAAATACTGACCGAATATGCAGCGGTGTTTAGATGAGAAAGTACTGGTTGAGGAAATGTTAATGTCTGGAAGACTACTTACTGACTGAAGATGTAATGGTACTTGGAAGAGTACTGGTTGCAGACTTGATTATATTTGGAAGAGTACTGACTAGAAATGAAATGTTACTCGAAAAATGTAGTGACACATCAATGAATACATAATGGTTTTAAAAAGAATACTGTTTGAGGAATTGATAGTATACTGAGGATGCAATGAATTTGAAAAACTAATGATCAAAGACTTGGTATTATTTTGAAGAGGGCTGACTTAGGATGTAAGAAAGATTCCTGATGGTGGACTGCCGTAGGATTCAATGTTTATTGAAAGAGTACTGATTGAGGTAGTATTTGGAAGAGTTCTAGTGATTAATAGAACAATACTGATTGGGGACTTGCTAGTATTCAGAAAAGTTCTTTTTGTTTCCATTTTCTTCAAAACTTCGTCGTTGCTCCCACGTTCGGTCCCTGATATTCTTCTGTAGAACCACATTTCTGTTGCTTCAAGTCTCATCTTCATATGTGAGAAGATTGTCCAGCATTCACTGACATATAGAAGGATTGATATTACATAACAGTTCAGTACTATGCTTCGTTTCTAAAAAATTACTCTTTCTTAGTACTTTGCTTACATTTTGGAAGATATATTTTGCTATACCAACGTGCCTTAGGATTTCAGTCTCGCACTTTCCATTCTATGCTAAAACACTTCTTAGATATTTTTTATTGTTGTACTTGTTTGATATTGGGGTATCCAAATTATAATTTGCATGTTGGGCCATTCCTTTTGCTAAAAAGCATTCATTCTGACTTCTTGCGATTGATGTTTTGTCCTTTCCTCACGCTTTCTTTGACTAAATTTTGTAGAAATTCTTGTAGTTTCTTTATTGTGTCTGTTATTAACACTGTGTCATCTGTATATCTTATATTGTGAAGATTGTGACCGCCAGTAATGAATCATGGTTGGACTACTAATTTTCTCAGAATTGTCTTACTGTATAGGTTGAATACGTCCGGTGAGAAGACACATTCTTGTCTTACGCTCCTTTCTATTTTTGTATATGTATTGAATTCATTTTCTATCCTTATCCGGGCATTTTTCTATCAGTATAGGTTCTGAATTATTCTAATTTATTACCCAAATATGACAAGGTTACCTAACAATTCCAACAGTTCTTTGTGGCATACTTTATCAAATTATTCTGCATAATCTATAAAACACAAGTACACATTCTTCTGCATTTTCTTTTAGTTGAAACTAATCATTAGATTTAGAATATTTTATTAAATGGGATATTTTGAGAATAATATCGAATACGATATAATAATAAGAAAAAAAACTGATCTGCTCAATTTTATTGGATAAAACTATTTTTACTTTGAAGTTAACAAAATTTATTCATTTTTCACTTTCCCCCACTTGCGTTCTGCTAACTATTAACTAACTTCATATTATGAACCGTCAGGTAATTTTCTTAGTTGTTTTAGGTGTCTTTTGCAGTCTTAAGTAATCGTCAAAATGTGCATTATCAAATAAATATAACAGATGAATGAAACATTCTGAGACAAATAGTAACAATTTTTTTTCTGGTTTCCAAGGAAAAAAGCGCTCTTTTTACGGAATATTATTTTATTTAATTTGGGAATATTTTGGTCATTTACGCCATCTGACAAGAACAGTATGAAATGTTTCTGTTATCCAATCGTATACATTTGACTTTTAAAATATACAGTTATCTTTCCAAGAACGCACAGAAAAATCTCTGTTATATAAAAAAATTCACAATAGGATGTTAGTGTATATACTACCAAAGCATCTAGCAAGAGACCACGTGTAACTCCAAATTGTCGATTCAAGGGTCAGGTAAAAAAAACACCGCACTGAGTACTGAAATCGATCCGATCATTTGGAAGACGGAAGCTGCAGAAAGAACCAGTTGCAGAAGAGTAGCCCCCCGAAAAAAATGAACATCCTTTGAAACCATTAGAAGACAAATAGAAGAGACGAAGAGAGACCAAAGAAAAGCCAATGCTCTCCATCCTCTGAATCCTCCCTCCCTACCATGTGATGCCTGTGGACGTCTCTTCATAGGACTCATTTCACACAGAAGGAAATGTCTATGAGCACCCCAATACTCGGAAGCCCGTTCCGCCAACGATGACGATAATAAAAATGTTTTAAAATACTTTGAATTGTTACATTCTTAAAAATATTTTTAACCGTTACATTTTAAAAAAAAATATTTAATTGTTACATTTGTTTCCTTTTTACCACCAGGTCGAACTGGTTTGATTATAGCCATCTTTAATTACTCCAAACATACAGTTCTGGTGGCAATCTAGAATAAAAAGAAAGAAAACGTACATCACATAATTAATTACATAAAAATAAAATATACTAATAGACAATCTATATGATAATGGTAAGGTTGAGATTAAACGTTTACTTATACAGAAACATTCATTATTCATTGACCGAACAGTTAACATTAATATCAGCTGAAATTCATAACAACGTTCTCTCAAAATAGTTTTTTCTGGAAAATAGAGTTGTCAAGTCCACTAAATGTTATTGAACCGTCTCGTATTGATGTAGGATTTCCTTTTTAACATGTTGTTTAATAATATGGAAAGTTAAGGTCTTGATTATGTCATCATTTTCAAGTAACCCGTTCTAACAACTATAACTCTTGGTAAAAGTTCTGAAATGATGTGGTTTCTGCTATTTAGTAGAGTTCTCTGTGATTCTGTAGTGCCAGTTCACAACATTTGAATAATTGTAGTGTTGTAGTGTTCGTAAGAACCAGAGGCTTTACTCACTCAAAGATATTTTTAACCAATGATCTTACAAATCGGTTGTATAGTTAAGACATATCTGAATGAATTGGACGTCACGCATGGCATCCGCATGGCATTCATATGAGTTTTCATCTGATGAGACGATTTAAGAACTTGACTCAAGTTTAATAGTTTAATATTTAGGTTCTGTAGAATCTTACGTTGTTAGGCGAAACTACCGCTAGCACAGCCTATTCTATATTCGATTTCCTTATTTTCTATATTATTTTTGTCATAACCAAATCCCTGCATTGAAGTATTTGAAGTATTTAATATTTATTAAGTCCAAATTTTGGATTTCTATGACGAATTCACAGTACGTGCCATCACTGATTTCATTCCAATTCCAGATCATAGTTTGTCATTTGGAAATGTTTTATCTTGAGACCTGTTACTTCGGACACTTATGAGCTGAAAGGAATCTACTTAATTAAAAAAATATATTTACAATTAAAATAAATTTAAGTTTTTGGGATTTCTAAAAAGTCTTCTGTTGAAGAGATGAATATTTAAATATTTTCATGAAATAAATTATAACCGAGATGGACTTTTAAGGATTTTCCTTGACTTATTATATTGCTCTTTTACTTACATTGAACTTTCTTTGGACTAATGTACTAATTGGAACTATTCCTAAAATTACCAATTGGCATGATATATATATATATATATATATATATATATATATATATATATATATATATTATATTACATTCAACACCATCACTAGATAAAAAATACAAGAAGTGTTTAAACAAAATGGCTATTTTTGTAGTGATTTTATACCATATTTATGTTATAATTTTCCAAATTATATTTGGTTTACTCTGTATTGAGCACTCTTTTAAGAATAAGTATTTTCTGGTCATTTTTTCCGTATACACCAATTCTATACTTAGGTATATATATATATATATATATATATATATATATATATATATATATATATATATATATTTTTACTTTTACAAACTCCTCAATTCGTCTTGACATTGATTCGAAATT